TGGCGGTGTCGCTGTCGGCGGTGTCCCCGCGCCCGGGGCGGTGGCGGAGCTCAGCCCCGCGGTGCCGGGGCCATGTGCCGGGAGGAGGTGGCGGCAGCCGGGAACCAGCGCAAAGTTTGGTGATGGCGGGAGCGGAGGGCGGAGGCTCCTCCCCGTGAGGGCCCCGCGCGTCACGGCCGCCGGGCGGGGTTCGGGGGCAGCGGGGGCACCGCGGGCACGCCCAGCGATCCGCCCGGTGCGGCGGGGCCCGCCGGGGACCTTCGGCCCCGCCGGGACAGCACAGCCGCCTCCCCGGGCCCCGCCACAGCCCTCGCCGCCCTCACGGAGCGACCGCCTTCGCTGCCCCCGCCCCGCCCGCCCGGGAGCGTCACCGGCATCGCCCCCGAGCCCGAACCGCGGCGACATCCCCGACACCGCCCCCGGCCCCGCTCGCTTCCGTGCCCTGCCGTGATCTGGGGCCTTGGGTTAAACCCCGGGGGTGCCCCTCGCTCAGTGGGCAGGGCCAGGGCCCCGCCAGGGCATTACAGAGGAGGGTGATCCCAGCTGGCGGCTTTCTGGGGATGAGCAGCCCTGACTCGGTCTCCCCAAATCTTTGCATATCCCAAAAATGCTTTGGACGCCCCAAAACCGGCTGCTCCCGGCACCTGCCTGTGCCATCCTTGAGAGGGACCAGGACCAGAGGAGCTGCTGGTCCCGGTGCTCCCATCCAACAGCACCTGTAGGACAAGGCACATTCTGTCCCCTTCCTCTTCCTCCTCCCCCCGGCAGATTTGGGGTGCTGGCTCCTGGAAAGCAGGAGACAGAAAGCAAGTCCTGTGCTCACAGTGGAGGTTTCATTGCCATCACCCCCTACAGCCCCCCACCCTCTACCACTCGCTGAGGCGCAGGATGAGGGTCTCTCCATCATGGGGAATGTAGTCGGCAACACCTGCAGAGGGAGGGACAGTGACCTCAGGTGAGACTGGGGGCCCCAGGGGCCGTGGGGACTGCCTGGGACCCCCACTGCCTCCCCAGGGACCCCCACCCATCACTTACCTGTCAGCAGGGGGGTGCTGGGGGCTGTCAGGAGCTGCCAGTAGTTCCGCTTCTCCTGCCGGGCCTCCAGCCCCAGCACCTGGGTCAGGTAGGGGCCCTGGGGGGTGTCCTGGGTGTCAAACCTGAGGAGTGGCAGAGGGCAGTGAGGGGGATGAGTGTCCAGCCTTGGCACTGCTGGCGGTGGGACAGGGCAGCTCCCAAGGGAGCCGGGCAGTGGGAACCAGGGTGAGCCCTTGGTGTGGGTGCAGGACACGTGGCCACCCCAGTGTGACCCCAGGGGACCCCAGGTGGGTCACATACGTGAAGCGGGGTTCCTGTGCAGTGGCCGCCCCAAGCACATCCAGCAGGGAGGCGGCAGCGGGCGTGGACACCCGCCGGTCGTAGAGCTGGAGCTCGGAACACCAGGGCTGGGCACACTCCACCACCAGCCGTACTGTCTTGTTCCCTGGCACCTCAGTCGGGGGCTCCACGTCGAGGGGTGTCAGTGTATCTGTGAGAAGCCACCCCGGCGTTGATGAACACCCGGCCACCACCACGGTGCCACTGGCACCAACCCCATCCCGGCTGCCCCCGGCTCGTACCCGACTCCTCCTGGCAGTGCATGGAGGCGATGTCCAGGTAGGAGTGGCCGTGCAGCACTGGCAGCACCTGGGCCATGGTGGTGGCCGTGCCAAAGGCATCCAGGTTCTCCAGCAGCGCAGCCATGGCCCGGCTGTAAGCTGGCTCTGTGTGGCACATGCCTGTGGCCAGGAACACCTGGAGCAGGAGGGAGGTGGTGGGGCAGCAAGAAGAAGAGGGAGGTGATTGGGCACCTGGGCACCGCAGGGCTGAGGATCACCTGCCCTGGGGCAGCTGCCTCTGCCCAGGCACCACCATCTGCATCTGTACCTGCACCCACACCCCACATCTGCACCCACATCTTGCATCTGCACCTGTAGCTGTATCTACACCCACATCTGCACCTGCCTACACCCTCACCTACAGCCTTCTGCACCTGCACCCCACATCTGCACCTGTACTTTTATCTGCACCCAAATCTGCTCCTGTGCCCACACCCACATCTGCACCCAAATCTGCACCTGCATGTACACCCACATCTGCATCCGCACCTGTACCTGCACCCACATCAGCACCTGCAGCCCCACCTCCCCTTGCCAATTCCTGCTCCCATGCCAGAAGTCCCCTCAGGTGACACCCACCTGCAGGGCCCAGGGGGTGCTGTAGATGTTGCCGATGATGCCCTCGGGTCCCTGAGCCTGGGCCATGCTCCTGCTCACCCTGTGCACGGTGTCCCGGAGCTCGGCCGCCAGCCCGGCCCCCACCAGCCTCCTGCGCTCCAGGCAGGCGAAGGCCAGTGCCAGCACGGCCTCCGTGTCTGCAGGGACACCGTGGGGTCACCGCGGGCTCACCCTGTGCCGGGTGCCCCTGCCTGTGCCCACGGGCCCTTACCCACGGCGCCGTGCCCGAGCCGGCCGCGGTGCTGTGCCTCCAGGAGCCGGCGGATCACCTCCTCCCGCACCCGCTTGTGGTGCACACACAGCGCCAGCACGCCCAGCCCGTACTGGTAGTAATTGGTGAGGGGGTGGCCGTGCCGCCGGGAGCCTGGGGAAGTCGGGGGGTGTCACCAGGGTGAGTGAAGTCCCACCCTGTGGGTGCCCAGGTGGGTGGTCACCCCATGGGGGACACTCACCTGTCCAGTCCTCCTCCAGGTAGTATTTGAGCCACGTCACCAGCGCCCGGTGGGGTTTGGTTGGGGGACAGGTGGCCCTCAGCCCCAGCAGATACAGTGCCAGCCGCCCCGTCTGCGGCCGCTCTGCGCCCCTGCAAGGCACCGGGCACCTCCCAGGACACCACCGAGGGTGTCACCCTGCCCTCAGGGCACCTCCAGGACACCACACTGGGGGTGTCACCCTGCCCTGGGGCTCCCAGGACCCTGCTGGCGGTGTCACCCTACCCTCAGGGCACCTCCCAGGACCCCACTAGGGGTGTCACCCCGTGACATGGGTGATTTCAGGGCACCCCATGTCCCCCAGGACACCCACACATACGTGCTGAGCTCAGCATCCTGCTCGGGGTAGCCATGGGCCTGCACGCTCCTGTGGGGACCTGAGGTCAGTGTGTGGGACAGGGGCATCCCCAAAGGCCCGTGGGGAGCCCCGGTGTCCCCATAGGGGTCCCAGTGTCCCCCCAGTGTCCCACCTGCCATAGGGGTGCTGGAAGGCGCGGTGCAGCCTCTCCAGGTAGTGCTGCTCCAGCTGCAGGTTGTGCTCCCGGCCCAGGCGCAGCCCCAGGTACGTGGTGGGGTCGGGGTCCCGCGCGGGGTCCCCCGCCAGCCCCAGCAGCCGCGCACTCAGCGCCCGCACGGCCCCCGCCGGCCCCGGGGGGAACTCTGCCCACGACCCCCGGGGAGGGAGCGCAGGTGAGGGGGCACAGGGGGCTGAGACCACCCCCCGCAGCATCTGCAGCCCCCCGCAGCTCTGTGGGGATGGAGCCCCGGCACCCAGCCCTGCCGTGCACCCAACACCCTCTGTGTGCCCCTACTAATCCCAAAACCTCGAGATTTCCCACAAACAAAGAGGGAGAAACAAAGGAAGAGCCGTAAAGAGGAACACAGAGAGCCCATCAGAGTCTCCCTCCCTGACACCCCTCTGTGACACCCCTGTCCCAATGTCCCTGTGGGACCCCCGGGGGGTGGGCAGGGGCTGGCTCCGGGCAGGGGAAGGGGCTGCAGGAATCAGGCTCGTGGGGGGAGCTGAGCCCTGGAAAACGCATCCCCGAGGGATTCCACGAGGCCCCCGGGACTGGGGAGCAGGGCTGGGGTACAGGGTGGGGTTTGTCACCCCAGCCCTGCCCCTCAGGGACCCCCCGGCCCCGGGGGGTTCCCGGGTAGGTCGGGGGTCCCGGGGCCGCACTCACCGCAGCGCTGGGCGGACAGGACCGCGGGCGGCAGCAGCAGGACGAGCAGCAGCCACATGCTGGAGGGGGACAGGGGGTGACACGGAGGGGACACGGCACCGCCGGACGCCCGGGAGCGGCAGGATGAGCCCGGGCGGGACCGGGACAGCACGGGAAGCTGGGGCGGGAGGCCGTTTCCGCACGTCGGGGCCGAGTCAGCACAAACGGGGTAGAACTTTGGCTGGGAGCGGGGGGATCACGGGGGCTGTGCTGGGTCACCCTGCCCCGGGTCACCCTGCTCCGAGCAGCCCAAAAATAAGACAGGCGTGAAATCCCACAAATCCGGTGCCTTTGAAAACGAGAATCCACTCCTCGCTTCCAACCGGCATTTAACTGAGAAAACGAGGATTAATCAGCCCCACCCCGGAGCCAGAGGAGGGGGGGGGGAGCTGAGCCCCAAAAAGTAACTCCCTAAAGCCGGGGGGTCCCGAGCCCCAAAAGGTAAAACCCCGTAGCCGGGGGTGGGTGTGGGGGGCTGAGCCCAAAAGCCGAATCCCCCCAGCCCGGGGGGGTCCTGGGACCCTTTGGGGCTCAGCCCGGGGACCCCCAGGCTGGGGGGACCGGCCTGGGGACCCCCTGCCCCCAAACCCTCCTGAACCTTGGCGGGGAGGGGAGGTGAGTTCGGGGGTCATGACCCCCTCGGGCTCGGCGGGACCCCCGGGAGCGCCCCGAACCCTCCCGGGGTGCCTAGGGCTCCGGGGGGGGGGGGGGGGCGGCGCCCCCGGCATTGGAGGGGGTGAAGCATCCCGGAGCCCAGCCAAACTCGCGGGGGACGGGGCTGTGGGGGCTCGGGGGGTGTCAGTGCCGCGGGGGCTGTTGGGAGGCCCGGGACCCCCAGGCCGTGGCGCGGGCCGGGACCCCCGGTACATCCCGGCATGCCCCGCGCGGGAGGACCGGCCTGCCTCGGTATATCCCGGCATGCCCCGCGCATCAGGACCCCTCACCGCAGCGCTCTGGGCTGCCCGCCGAGCGCCTGACAGACCGCGGTCCTGTCTCCTGAGCCGCTCGTTCCCCACGCGTCTCTCGTTCCGCCCGCTCCGCTCGTCCCGCCCGCTCCGCTCACGGTGTCCGCGCAGTCCCCGTGCCCGGCGCAGGGCGGCTCTGGTGTGCTCAGGCGCGGCGCGGGCAGCCCGGGGTCCAGCGGCGGCGGGAGCGCGTGGCTCGGCGGGGCCATGGGGGGGGTGGAGAAGAAGAAGGTACCGGGACCCCCACCCCGTCCCCTCCCCAGACTGTCCCATCCCTGTCCCATCCCTCCGGGGCTGCGCCCACACCCCTGGGGCCCGTGCCCGTCCCTCCGGTGCCTTCCCGTGTTGTGTCCCTCCTCCCCTCCGGTGCCCGCCCCCGGTCCCGGTGTCTCCCTCCCTCCGCCCCCGTGACCCCCGGTCGGTGCCCGCTGCCCCACTCGCCCCCCTCGCTGTCCGTGCCCGGCGGTCCCTCTCAGCCCCCATCCCATCCCTGGGTCCCGTTTCCCCCCGGTTCCGGGGGTCTCCTCACCCTCCCCCTCATCTCCCCGCAGTACGAGCGCGGAGCCGCCACCAACTACATCACCCGCAACCGGGCGCGGAAGAAGCTGCAGCTGAGCCTGCCCGACTTCAGGTGCACCCGGGACCCCCAAACTCCCCCTGCAGGGACCACGCACCCCTTGAACTCACTCTCTTCCAGAGCCCCTGACCACCCCGGGACCCCCAGAATCCCCTCTGAATCCCCTCTGGACACCCCCCCTCAGACACCCCAAACCCTCTGAGCTCCCCCCGGGACCCCCTTGATGACTGCCCTGGGACCCCCAGGGCCCTCACGGGACAGCAGTGGGAGATGGAGCCTGTGATGGGTGTGTGGGGTGGCCCTGGGACCTCCTGAACCCCCTCCAGGGGGTGGCCCTTGGGTGTCCCTGTCCCTTGGGAGCAGGATGGATTGTCTCGTGTGTCCTGGGGTGTGTCCCAGGATTCCAGGTGCTAAGTTTGGGGGTTCCCTCCTGACCAAGGGCAGGGCCTGGGGTGTCCAGGGGTGCTGTGTCCCCATGTTCCAGCCCTGTCCCCTCCCCAGGCGCCTCTGCATCCTCAAGGGGATCTACCCCCATGAGCCCAAGCACAAGAAGAAGGTGAACAAAGGCTCCACAGCCCCCAGGACTTTCTACCTGCTCAAGGACATCAAATTCTTGCTCCATGAGCCCATCGTCAACAAATTCCGGGAATACAAGGTGATTGTCCCACCCCAGGGGCTGCTGGGACTGGTCCTGGAGCACCCAGGAGCACTCACCTCCCCCATCCCCACAGGTGTTTGTGCGGAAGCTCCGGAAGGCGTACGGGAAGAGCGAGTGGAGCACCGTGGAACGGCTGAAGGACAACAAACCCACCTACAAACTCGACCACATCGTGAAGGAGAGGTGAGGAGAGTCCTGGCAGAGCCACAGGGAGCCCACCTGGAGCTCAGTGTATCCCGCTCTGGGGGCCCAGCACAGGGAGGACGTGGAGCTGCTGGAGAGAGTCCAGAGGAGGCCCCAGAGATGCTGCCAGGGCTGGAGCCCCTCTGCTCTGGAGCCAGGCTGGGAGAGCTGGGGGGGTTCACCTGGACAAGAGAAGGCTCCAGGGAGAGCTGAGAGCCCCTTGCAGGGCCTAAAGGGGCTCCAGGAGAGCTGGAGAGGGACTGGGGACAAGGGATGGAAGGACAGGACACAGGGAATGGCTTCCCACTCCCAGAGGGTAGGGTTAGATTGGATACTGGGAAGAAATTGTTCCCTGTGAGGGTGATGAGGCCCTGGCACAGGTTGCCCAGAGAAGCTGTGGCTGCCCCTGGATCCCTGGAAGTGTCCAAGGCCAGGCTGGACGGGGCTTGGAGCAACCTGGGCTAGTGGGAGGTGTTCCTGCCATGGCAGTGGGTGGGACTGGATGGTCTTTAAGGTCCCTTCCAACACAAACCATTCTGGGATTCCTTTACCACATCCACCCCTCTTTGGGCACCCACCTCCTGTGTATTTTCTGGGGATGTTGGTGTCAATGGGTGTCTCTGGGCTGGAGGAGTGAGCAGGGAGCTCCTGGCCACCCTGGATGGCTCCAGGGGGACACTGAGGGCTCCGTCCTGTCCCTGCACACTGCTTTCCTCAGAGGGAGGGCTGGTTGAGGGTTAATCATGCCCATGGCTTTGGTGACAGTGAGCAAGGAGGGGACACAGGAAGGAGGGAAGGAATGGGCATTGGCAGGAGGGAAGGAACAGGCTCTGGCAGGTCTTTTCCTTGTCCCTGTGGTGCCTGGGACCTCCCTGTGCTGGTGTGAAGAGAGAAGCAGTGCTGAGAAGTGACCTGTGCCACAGGCCATGGGCCATGTGTGTGTCGTGTCTGTGTGTGTGTCCTCAGGGGTCCAGGCTGGAATCCCCCACACTCAAAACCTGTGGGTGCCCTAAACCCTGTTCACACCCACCTCTTGTTCCGAGGTGCTGCCATGTCCTCTGGGGAGCCCTGAGCCCTGGGAGCTGTGTGGCTGTGACTCCTCAGTGCCCAGGAGGGACACTCATCCCTGTGGGTCCTCGAGGGAACGACTGGAGTTGTGTCAAGGGGAGGGTTGGGTTGGATCTCAGGGAAAGGTTCTTCCCCAGAGGGTGGTTGGGCACTGACCAGGCTCCCCAGGGCAGTGGGCACAGCCCCAAGGCTGCCAGAGCTCCAGGAGGGTTTGGACAGCGCTCTGAGGGACAGGGTGGGATTGTTGGGGTGTCTGTGCAGGGCCAGGGGTTGGACTGGATGATCCTTGTGGGTTCTTCCCAGTTCAGAACATTCCATGGTTCTGTGACCAGCTCTAGTGGGATGTGCAGGTGGATGTTCCATGTTTCCAATTCCTTTCTCTCCTGGGGTCTCCCCCAGCCCCAGCAGCTGGACAGCACGGCCGGGTGTGATCCCTGTTCCCTTTCCCCTGGACACAGGTACCCCACGTTCATCGACGCCCTGCGGGACCTGGACGATGCCCTGTCCATGTGCTTCCTGTTCTCCACCTTCCCCCGGACAGGGAAGTGCCATGTCCAGACCATCCAGCTGTGCCGGCGCCTGGCCGTTGAATTCCAGAACTACGTCATCGCCTCCCGCTCCCTGCGCAAGGTGGGCACGGGGAGAGGGACAGGACAGGCCCCCCTGCCCGGGGGCATGGGGGTGGTGGGTTTGGGCAGCAGGAGGGCACTGGGAGGGTATTGGGAGGGCACTGGCCCAGCTGTGCTGGAGCTGCCGCTGGGGTGCGTGTCCCACTGGGATGTTTGATCCTCCTTGAGGAGGAAGCAACCAAGCCAAGGGAAGGGGGAACAAGGACAGGGACACAGCATCCCCGTGGCCTTCCTCCCCCTAAGCCCTCACTGTGGTCTTGCCAGGTCTTCCTCTCCATCAAGGGCATCTACTACCAGGCAGAGGTGCTGGGCCAGCCTGTCACCTGGATCACCCCCTACGCCTTCGCCCACGACGTGAGTGCCTGGGAAGGGCACGATGGGATCCTGTGCCCAGGGAGGGGCTGAGGGTCCATCCTGAGGCAGAGGAGGCAGTGCCCAGCCTGTGGTGAGCCCACGGGGCCTGGCTCAGGGGGCACGTGTGGACACAGCCCTCTATTACCCCGGGGCTGCCCGTACCAGTCTCCCCAGTTCCTCGTGTCCTCAGTTATTAATACACACCTTTACCAGTCATTAAAGATTAACCTGCAGGAACAAGGGAAACAGGGAAGGGATGAGTCAGATCCTGCAACCTTGAGCAGGGAGGTTCTGCTGTGTCACAGCAGGACAAGGGGGGCTGTGGGTGCCACTGTGCTGGGACAGCCATGTGCCCCCCTGAGCCTTGTCAGGCAGGAGGTCACGGGCACAGCAGTGCCCTCTCCATTCACTCCCAGGATTTTCAGGGCTGGACACAGTTAGATTGGGTCTTTGTGGTTTTGAATCATAGAATCCCAGAATGGTTTGGACTGGAAGAGACCTTAAGGATCATGTCATTCCACCCCCTGCCATGGGCAGGGACACCTTCCACTAGCCCAGGTTGCTCCAAGCCCTGTCCAACCTGGCCTTGGACACTTCCAGGGATCCAGGGGCAGCCACAGCTTCTCTGGGCAACCTGTGCCAGGGCCTCCCCACCCTCACAGGGAGGAACTTCTTCCCAATATCTCATCTATCCCTGCCCTCTGGCAGTGGGAAGCCATTCCCCTTTGTCCTCATCCTCCTTGTCCTGCTCTTGTCCTGTTCTTGTCCAACTCTGCCACACCCTGCACTCCTCACCCTGATTTGAAGTCCCTGGGCCAAGCCCCAAGGTCCCCATTCATGATGGGATGAGGTGTTCCATGTGTCCAAGCAGGGCAGGGTGGCAGCAGGACCCTGCTTGCACCTAGGGAGCTCTCCCTGCCCAGGGTCTGGTGGTGGCTGTGGCCTGACTTGTGAAGGGGCCAGGATTAGGTTGGATCTTAGGAAAAGGTTCTTCCCCCAGAGGGTAATTGGTCACTGCCCAGGCTCCCCAGGGCAGTGGGCACAGCCCCAAGGCTGCCAGAGCTCCAGGAGGGTTTGGACAGTGCTCTGAGGGACAGGGTGGGATTGTTGGGTGTCTGTGCAGGGCCAAGGGTTGGACTGATGATCCTTGTGGGTCCCTTCCTAAATGGGGATATTCTGTGACCTTCCTCCCCACGTGGATGGGATGGGCCCCTGTCCCTGCAGAGAGGGTCCTTTATCCACACATTCTCCCCGCCCTGTGCCTGCAGCACCCCACAGACGTGGATTACCGGGTCATGGCCACCTTCACTGAGTTCTACACCACCCTCCTGGGCTTCGTCAACTTCCGCCTCTACCACTCCCTCAACCTGCTCTACCCCCCCAAGGTGAGGCCATGGGGTCACTGCTGGGACCCCCCCTGGGGTGGTGCAGGGGGGGATGTTTGGGAGCTGCCTCCCCACCTCTGTTCCTCCCCAGATCGACAGCCAGGCTGATGCTGAGCTGAAGCCCACAGAGGGCAAGGAGTATGCCATGGATTCAGAGAGCTACCTGGAGGTGAGGGACACTGATGGCACCATGGGACTGAGGGGTGGAGGGGGCTGATCCCAAACTCCTTGTCCCTGTAGGGAGGAGCTGGGCTTGGCCTCGGGCTCCACCGGCCTCCCCCTGTGTGGCAGGAGACCCTCCAGAGCCCCATGCTGGGGACTGTCCGTGGAGGAGGCTGAATTCTGCCCAATCCCTGGGTCTTTTTGGCTCTGAGAAATCCCTTTCCTCCATGGGGCTGCCCCTTTTCCCACCCCCTGGATATGACTCCATCTCCTCCCACTGCAGAGACTGTCAGCTCTGAGCTCCAGCCTGGCCCGAGTAGTGGCACCAACCCACGAGGACGAGGTGGAGATGGACGAGTTCCCAGTGGAGGGGGTAAGAGCCTGGTGGGGGACTCATGCCTGCCTGTCCTGTGCCCAGGCAAAGGCTGGCAGGGCCAGCGAGGTGCTGGGAGTCTGGGGACAGCACCTGAGACCCCCCCCTTGCAGAGGGGGCTTGCCAGGGGCTGTTGGGGAGGAGGCTGAAGGCTTTGCTCCGAGCAGGAGACAGCAGAACAGATGGATGCCAAGAAGAAGGAGCAGGAGGCCCTGGAGAAGCACAAGAAGCTGTTTGAGGGGCTGCGCTTCTTCCTCAACAGGGAGGTGCCTCGGGAGCCTCTGGCCTTCGTTATCCGGTGCGTGGGGGGTGGGACACCCTGGGCAGCCCTGGCCTCCCACAGCCCCTCTGCTGGGCCCACCCTGCCCGATGTCCCACGGGTGAGGTGACCCCGAGTGTCCCACCAGCCTGCCTGACTCCTTGATGGGCTTTTCTGGCAGGAGCTTTGGTGGTCAGGTCTCCTGGGACAAGTCCCTGTGCATTGGGGCCACCTACGATGCCACCGACCCCTCCATCACCCACCACATCATCGACCGGCCCCGCGTGGAGAAGCAGGTGGTGGGCAGGTGGGTGAGACAGGGGCCTGTCCCCAGAACGGCCACGGGGGCCACCCCAGAGCTGTCCCACGGGCTCCAGAGCCTGAGGTGGGGTCCCTCTGCCTCCCCCAGGTACTACCTGCAGCCTCAGTGGGTGTTTGACTCGGTCAATGCCAAGCTGTGCCTCCCTGTGGCCGATTACTTCCCGGGTGTCCTGCTGCCCCCGCACTTGTCACCCTTCGTGACGGAGCAGGAGGGTGACTACGTGCCTCCGGAGAAGCTGAAGCTGCTGGCCCTGCAACGGGGAGAGAACCCAGGTGATGGGAACCATGGAGGAGTTTCAGAGCTGGGCAGGTGCCAGCGCCTGCTCTGAAGCCCCTCAAGGGTAACCATGGTCTCTCCTTGTAGATGAGGAGAGTGAGGAAGAGGAAGAAGAGGAGGAGGAAGAGGAGGATGACAATGACAAAGAAGAGGATGAGGAAGATGAGTCTGAAAAGGAAGAGGAGATGAAGTTAAAGAAGATGGAAGAGCAGAAGACTCAGAGCAACAAGGTGGGTGCCCGGCAGCGGGGTGGGTGCCTTGGAAGGAGGCGGGTGGGCACTGCCTTTGCTGAGGCTCTGCTCACTGTGGGATGTTCTTGTCCTGGGACTGCTGGGGCACTCACAGGATCCTGGAATGGTTTGGGTTTGGAGGGACTTTAAAGCTCATCTCATTCCACCCCCACCATGGGCAGGGGCACCTTCCACTAGCCCAGGTTGCTCCAAGCCCCATCCAACCTGACCTGGAACATTTCCAGGGATGCTCTGGGCCCCATGTTTGTGAGCTGCAGCTCCCACCCACGCTTAGGACCTGCTCAGGTTCAGAGGGAGCTGTGGCTGTTTTGTGGCCCCTGGTGAATGGGCTGGAAATGGGGGTGGTGGATTCCTGGGATCTGGGTTCCTGAGCTCTCTGGCTCCCACAGGCACTTCCCGTGAAGGTGACAGCGGGGAAGGTGAGGGTGGAGGACAAGCAGCGCCTGGAGCAGGAGCAGCAGAGCGAGGAGAAGCGCCTGGCCATCATGATGATGAAGAAGAGGGAGAAATACCTCTACAAGAAAATCATGTTCGGCAAGAAGCGCAAAGTCCGTGAGGTACGAGCTCTGTGGGACAGGGCCCTTCACCAGCATCCTGGGATGGGCTCTTCCCAAATCTCCTTGTTCCTTCTTCTCTGTACCTGGAGAAGGTGTTGAGGGCAGGTGGGCAGGGGTGAGGCTCTACCAGCCCCTTCCCAGCACCCCCAGGCTGCCCCATGGCAGGGCAGAGCTCCTCGTGCTCCCTCGGGTCTGTGCCTCACAGCCTCTCTCTGTGTCCCACACCTGATCCTGGTGCTGTGGGATCCATCCTCACCTACAGCTGGAGGTTTGGTGGGACTGAGGGTCTGCAGATGGGTCTGCTCTGACCGTGGGTCTCGGGGGTCTCTCCACAGGCCAACAAACTGGCTGCGAAGAGGAAAGCCCACGACACAGCCCTCAAGGAGGAGAAGAAGAAGAGCAAGAAGGCACAACGAGCATGATGGGGCTGGGGGCTCCCAGAGGGGGGTGGAGGATGGTTTTCCACTTTTGCTGTTGAGTGGAAATCCCTCGACTTTGCTCCTAAGACAGAAATGCTGTATTGAAACATTTCCCATCTGTAAATACACCTCCTGCTGTGCCTCTCCCGTGGCTCCCTCCATGGAATCCATGTCACAAGGACTGTCCTCTCCATGCTGGAGCCACCTCTGTGTGAGGAGGAGGTTGAGGAGAGCTCCAGGCTTTGGAATGTTCCATATGGATTTGCACAGCCCTGGGTGCCAGATCCAGGCTCCCTTGCGCAGAGGAGTGCAGAGCCCAGAGTGCTCCCCAGTATCCACATAGAAAACCATATTCCCTTATATTTTTATTTTTAAATAAAGGTGATGCTTTCCTGGTGGTGTTTGTTGTCTGTTCCCTCTGCCTGGGCACGGGGGAGGCTCCTCATCCTGCTTTTGGGATGTGTGTGGGGCTGATGAGGATGCACAAGGAGCTGCCATGGCCAATGCCAGGGCTGCCAACACCCCTGGCATCAGCCACATCATCCCCCACTCCGTTTTTTCCTCCCGAAACACCTTGGAGAAACCTTTTCCTGTACTGTGGTATCTCATGGGGTTTATGGGGACACCTTTGTTCCCGGGTGTGGGGAAGGCTCTGTCACTCCATGGGGATTTTTGGAGGACACCCCCTGGCACTGCTGAGGGGACATGGGTGGCCTGTGGGGTCATGGCAGTGCTGCCAGTCCCAGGGGTGACATTTCCTGGCAGTGAGTGAGCTCAGGCAGGGAATGGTGGGAAATGCCCAGCTTGTGGAATTTAGGTTTATTTTCCTAGATTTTTTTTTACTTTATAATTTTTACTTTTCTTTTTTCCCCTTTTTTCTTTCTTATTTGAATTTCTTTGTTTTTTAGATTTTTCCTTTTGCAATTAGCTTTCCTTTTTTCCTTTACTTTTTTCTTTGTTTTTCCTTTTTTTCTTTTTTCCTTTTTTCCTTTTTTTTCTTTGTCCCTTTTTTTTCCTTTTTTCCTTTTTTCCTTTTTTCCTTTTTTCCTTT